CACCTAGCAACCTACTTGGTTTGCACCGTACAGGTGGGCAGGTTCTATTGGTTTTGGGCGTCATTAATGAACTAAGGAAATACAGCAGTCTCGCCCACTAAGGGTTGGTACGGTTTATTAGTGAAGTCCGTCTTCCAACACTGGGGAGGACGAAATTTCGAGTGCGTGCGGGGACCAAATTCAACAATCCTTTGATTTTCTGGTTTTCTGAACAAAACTTCCAGAATACCAGAGCAAACTCACTGCGCGAAAGCCAGCATTTTCGTCTTGGTGACTTCCAGTGGTTCGCCTCAAGGCCGTCGTTTCGTACGTAAGCGTCTCATGCTGGTAGCGTATTAGGGTGTTAGCTCAACTTTGTGGAATGTTTAACTTTAGGAGATTTATTTATATCAGGAAACCTCAAGCAACATCTAACCATATGTATAGAAAGTCTTTGTTCTCTATTCTGTTGTATCCTCCAAAGATTAAATTATGTGTACCTCCTGGGAACTATTTATGAACTGTTATTATACGTATTCTTATTGTATAGCTATTAAGTAACTGGATTATACATATTTATATTTATTTTATTATAAAGCTTTATTTGACCTACTGAATACTGTTTTACGACTTACTATCCTCGAATTATTCTCGGCCTATTAGTTGCAGTCTCTCATACTCACAGGCAGTTATGAACGATATTTTCCAACTGCTGCTTTTCATTTTGTGGTGTGATACGTTCTGGTTTGACCATATATAAACTAATTATGCCTGAAATATATGATTCATACATTGCAGTCTGAAATGGTGTTCTGGACTCAATGGGTAGGGCAACACAAAAACCAATAGTGGCTGACCACAGGATTCTGGACATTGATTTGAAATAATACTAAGTTCATATAAGTCGGTGTTTTATTAGACGATTTTGTCAGGTGATAATTTGCGCGTTGTATGACATAACAACTGTTGTTAACGTCTGTTAAGCGATTGTTACATATACATTTACATTGGCATATTTTACTTTGCAGTGAGTATAACCTGAAGCATGAAACCGCAGAATTCTTTCATATAAAATATTATTTAACGCACTGTACAGTAAGAAATATGTTAAAATGTAATCACTGATATTAAAGGACCTACAATGTTCAACTCAGTCATATTAAATGCATATGACTGTATGCTCATCTTCATGTATAATGTTTTTCTGATTGTGTAAAGTGGGTACGTCAAGTGCGCTACTATGATCCAACTTGTTATACCCGTTGCAGTACAATTGCTGGTGATTCTAAATGTCAGTGTCAATACAATTAAGTTTAAAAGAGGCCTAATTATGATGCTATTCAAACACTACTATTATTTTAGTCCATTTGTTCTTGCTTAGTGGTATATGTTGGGGATGATAGATTCCCCAAATTTCACATTTCGTAATCTTATCTTATCGACTAACTTATCGAGTAAATGTTTAAATATTTGAATGGCAGTCGATTGACAAACTTACTGATGAATGTTTAAAAATTTATGTGACAATATCGATCACACATATTTGTATATATACGCTTGATTTGTGTGCCTGATTGACCTGGTATCTGCTGGTTGCCTGTAGAATACACTTTCTACGTCTTACCAAAACTTCTTGATAAAGTCAGCTGAGTCGGGGACAACGGACCAGAATAGCCTATCGAGTCTCTAAATCCTTGATACTTCGTTCCGTTCCGAGTGAGACGAATCAGTAGTAGCATTCAAGCTTGACGAATCTAACAATTGGCGACGAGGATGAGATTTGAATCCATTAGCGTGCATGTTTCTGAAGTGGGCAATACTGGACCACTGGGCGGATCTTGAATGGCTGCCGTTTCGTTTAAATTACGGTTTGCCAAGGATTCATGGATGCTGCGGTACATGCTGATCAATTCGAGTATTTACACATGTATTCATGAACATTGGTATTCTAGTTCCTACTCAATTAATTTAGCCTCAGTCAACCAGTACCAAGATAAGGAATATGATAGAACTTCGTCTCAAAAATAAACCATTCTGGTATAAGCGTTCCATATGGAGCTAAGTAAACGACAATATAATGTGAACACCCGATCACAGCTTATTCACGTTATATATATATTACTATAGTGTCAACACTTGCACGAATAAACGCCATAAATGGGTATCGCCATAGTCGAAAAACTGATGTGTTATAAATGAAATGGTATATGAAAATATAAGAAAAAATACACAGGCATTTTTTAGGAATCATTCACGTGTTCATATTTCTTTCAAATGTGGCTGAGTTATTGTGTTCATTACGCAGATGTCTCAGATTCATTGTTAGTGTGTAGTGGCATTGGGCCCTACCACGAGACAATATGAGAAATAGACATTAAACATTTAACGCGGAGAATTACAGAAGAATGGAGAAGGCGGGAATAATAGATTGAATAAAACAAGTTAATCTTATGGCATGGCTCGACCATGCAGGCGTAGTCCCTCCTGCTAAATGTTACGTTATGTCTTTTATTCATATTAAATATATTGTTCCATCTCTAGACTAAGCTTGTTCTCTATCACGTATTGGTAATTGTTACAATGCAATGAGTCGGTGTAGACGATGATGTAACTTCCACGTAAGATCTTATAGATTAGGCAGTTACATCATGATAAATCTACAATTTTATGATTAGGTCTATTATTAGAGCAGTGCTAATATCATAGTAGATCATAATTCTACAAGTGTTCTACAACTTTAGTATTGTATGTGGTAAAGGAAATACTAAAATATTTCCAATCCTAATAGTAGACAAAAGAATGCCTAATTTTTTAGCCATAATTAAACCTAGGATTCTACGCTGCCAGAGCCTATGGCGCTATGTGAAATGTGGATAGTGTACAAAGGCGGTGTAAAAATGTTTACCCAATTAAAACTTACAGTCAAGTCGGTAAACACTTGTGAAGCAATATGAAATAAAATACAATAAGTGGTAATTTAAAGACAAACCTTTTACAAAGTGTAATAAAGACGTGTACAGATATTCGATAACACGCTTTAATTTAATTTAGCTTACTTTTTCTTAGGATTCCCATGCACACATATTTACTTCATCTCTTGTATCGCATGAGAGAGCCTGGGTTATTACATCCATCACGTATGTTATTTCGTTTTCGGGACAAATTGTACTTTTGAGCCGTGAACACAGAATGTTCAACAAATGATCCCCGGCAGTTTCTCCACCTTTAATTTCATAAACAATTGTCGCAACTTATGAAATGATAACGGAATTTTTTTCTTATAATTTAGCTTATAGAGTATGGCATGTATATGTAGGCCAATATTAGTGCTGCATCCTTAAACATTTTGACCGTTAGTTTCGTCAGAGAACTGCAGATTTAACTGGTTTGATACCAGTTTTCAGCGTAGGAACTCCAGTTGCGAAGAAAAACCCACTTATCTTCGTGAACGATAGTGTATTGTTTGTTAATTTTGTAGTTACTGTGTGTATTATGACAATGGATATACAAGCTTCAAAGAGCCTATTAACATCAAATAATGTCACTGACGGTGGTGAATTTCAACGCTAAAACGTTGTGAGAAAAACTTCCACAGACAGTATCCTGTCTGATGTCCATCAACATATAATCTTTAGTATAGCACTGTCACTCTGCCTTTTAGTGCAGTGATTTACCATAGAAAACATTTAAGCAAGCCTTTATGCCTATATGTTTAACCCCAACGTCTATTTTTAACAATTCCAATCAATGCCACGACAACACGTAAAAATCTACGGAAATACATTTTATGCTATGTCCTAACCAAAAACAGAGTGAAATGGATGATGTAGAACGTCAAGTTATAGACAAACGATTTCAAAGCCTGAATAAAACAAATGTATCAAAAACACGGTGAAAATATAGATATTCAAAGTAACAGTTATTAATCAGTGAAATACCTTCAGTTGTTCCTGTAAAGATACCCGCCAGAGCCTCAGTGATCGTAGAGAAACGACAATGAGATATTAACGATGGATTCATAGTAGAAACAACTAGCCATTTCTTTAACCATGGAGATAATATCTGCCCTGAGAAACCATGGAACGATGTCCTGTCCACATTAGAAAAAGCGCTGAGATATATCTAAACCTGATTCGAAATTCTTGATAATGACCCAGATACCTTCATCATGTATGGCCCTCTAATTCGTAAGTCAATTCCACACTTGAATGTTTATTCAACTATGCGTCCTTTATATTTCCGACTAGGTTGTCCATAAAAAGTAATGCTCAATTCAACCATTCACATCAGAATACATAGCATAAGGAAATTTCCATTACTGCGGCTTAAGTAAAATTTTCATGCAATACTTCTCATTTTAATATATTCGGCTCCTCTGTATTAAAAGGAAACAATAAGATCTAGACGAATGTATACTTGTGTCCATATTCAGAGGGTGCTCATCGCTTTTAAGATTGAAGGCCTAAACTATATGTTCAGGTAAAAATAAACAGAAATAGACATACGTATGATAAACACTCCTACTCGCTTAATGTGACGTTACTTATTTACTACTTACTTACTCCTGCTACTCATCGTGGAGAACAGTAGACCATTCACCAATATTCTCCATCAAACACTGTCACGGACAATCCTTCCCAGTCGTTTCCGGTTGTTATTCATTGTTTGTATGTCTTCTTCCAATTCCCGACGCAGTATTTCTTGGTTTTCTTCCTCTCGGTTTCCCTTCAGGATTCCAAATTAGGGTTTGCCTCGTGATGCGGTTTGATAGTTTCCGCAATGTATATCCTATCCACGTCTAGTGCCTACTTCTACTTTATTATTCTGCTGGAAGTTGATTTGTTCTCTTCCACAGTATTCTGTTGCTGATAGCATTGACACTTATTTTCAGTCATAGCGTTTTCATGATACCTTGGAGCCACCTCCTTTTTATATTTACAATTCAATCAAAAACCAAATGATATTTATTGATAAATGTTTTATTCTCCTGGCTTTGCGTTAGATGCTTTAAATGGATCAATAGCAAATTTCATCGTTGAACTCGTTAGGCCGTTACTTATTACCGTTGCCTATAGATGTATTTTCATTTGCTGGATGATTCGAAGAACAGTTACAATTATCACTGACTTTTAGTACATAAAACACTGGAAGTTAGCACAATTATCATCTAGCTTTGTTTTTCTCTGATGAAATAAATAGACCAGATGCTTCTTTATTGAAGACAGATACACAATTTCAAAATGAATTATCCATTTCTTGCATAAAGACATATGTAAATTATATTTATTCAGAGGTTCAAACCTTAAAATTACGAACGTGTACATTATTCTTGATAAATGTGACCAATAAATACTAAGAGTTCAAGTTATCAGTAATAATGAAAGTCACCGTGTGCTTTGATGATGTTAAAGTTGTTGTCCCTTGTGGAAACGGAAGCATTCTGATTCGGGAGCTAGCTGAAATGGCTCTTTTAAGGTTCCAGAAATCTACTTCCTCCTTGCTGCATGTAAGTTTCCTTCCGATTTAGTACTATTCTGATCTTCCTTTTTCACGCGGTATGTGCGAACTTTGTCATTTATTTGGTGTAATAGGTCAGCACAAATGTACCTAGATTGTTTTGTGTAAGAGTTAAGGTTTTGATTGATTTTTAATAGTATTACCTTTTCACACAGGGTAAAGGTTTGACTTTAAAGGATTCTTTTTATATTCAAATTCAGTTATTAATTTTCTAATGTTAAGCTATATAAAAAACCTTGTCTGTAAATATTTTCGAGGTATAATTATTTTGGTCAGCGTGTGGGTTTATTTTCTCAAGTTTTTGTGCTGCCAAAGTACATGTCTATCCGTCGTTAGAACGTTTGCTTCTTGTAATCAGTAAGCTTAATTCTTAGGTCACGTATTAATACAGTGGAAACAGCTAAAGTAAGCTGTAGTGTGAAAAATATTGGAAAGTCATCAAAGCTTTGTTTAATCTGATAAAAAATCAAACATGTTGAGCGATCTTACGATATTTTTAAGCTTTAAACCCTATTCCTAAAAATTTGTCCTATTACTGACTATGGATATTTTAAACCAAAGTATACAGCACGAGACTGTTGTTTAGCAAATCCATATCACTACCAGTCTTTAAGTAAAGTGTCAGTGAGTTTTGTTGGACCAAACATACTACTAGCTAAAATTAACTCTCTTGGCCTTACAGTACGTTCGACTTCAAAAGTAACAGAAAGTTCTGATAAATCTGTAATTACTAAAGTGACTACGATTAGTACAAAAAGTAGCATCGTATGTTATTTCTCCACATAAAAGTATGGCTGAATGATCATTATGTCTGTTCATATCCGACCATATTCTTTTAAAAGATATCGTCCTTTACTGTGTGTTAAAAGTATTTTAAAGACTATCTGATGAATCTTATTGCTTAATACATCAATTTAGTAAACCTGTCCTATCATGAAATATGATTATAGAGCTTTTTATTTTTATTCTTATATTTACTTCGCATGAATTCATGCTAATAATGTCGTTTGACTGCAAAGTAACCATTGCAATGGTTGTTTTGCAGTTTGAGTACTTAGATAACATCAAGTGTTTATTAATATGTCAATGCATTTGAACACTTCTTATTTACTCACAATGCTTCACGACTCGTTTCCACGCAAAATAGGTGTTTGTGATCAAGATCGGTCATAAAATAAAGTAGTTTATTCGTTTCAACAAGTTATCCCATTTTGAATCGGCTCGAATAAAATGTTCCGTGGCTGATAATATTTACAAGAGTTTGGTATTTGTAAGCTTACATTAATCTATGCATCAGTTTTAGTGTTAGTAATGAAAGTTATCAAGGCATTGTTTAAAAAAATAAGGTGTTTTTAGCATTCAAGGTAACTCGATTGTGACTAACAACTATCGCTTGCCTACACTTTTCGTGAAAGTAATGTCAAAGACAGAACTTTATTACATGGTTTGTTACCCAAATAATTAAACTGAGGGATTATTCCGTTTAAATGCTTAGTCAAAAATGTGATTTAATAACGGAGTCACTTTCAGTCAGTCAGTCAGCCAGTCAGTCAGTCAGTCACAACGTAGGACCAGGCACATATAGGGATCACTCCAAATTCCTGCACCTTGTTAGTTCAATAAGATGAACACCAAATTCATAGAAGTAGTTACTTCAATGGCAGTAACATATAAAACAGAGATTGCATACAAAGATATAATACAGGAAGAACGATTTAGTTCATAGAAAGAGGGGTATAAATTAGTTTTAATCCCATAGTTTAAGGTAAGACCAAGAATGTATACGCCTACACCACTGTGGTCGATTTTGAGGAATGTCATCCAGAGTCTCCAACAACTGGTTGTGATAGTCGCGCAGACCCCAACCAAGTAGTCTGCATCTATCGACATGGCTCATACTATAAGTTAGTGACTTCAAGCACTGATGCCACGTTTTTATTTTGGCCTCCCTTAACTTTCTTCCAACCATCCCTAACACTAATTAGCATTGTGCGTCGTAGTAATCGGGTGCTCAGGCATACGTAACATGTGGCCAAACTATCTCAGTAGATGAAGATTTACAACCTCATCAACTGATTTACCATCATTCTCTAATATCCTGTGTCTAACCTCACTATTACTTACCCGGTGTTTCCAGCAGATGCTGGTAGTATTTCTAAGATATCTGTGTCAATTTACAACGATATTGAGTCGCCTTATAAATAATCATGGTAGATTTGTTCAAAATTTTGATATAGGTTCATGAGACATCAGTAGAATACTATGTTTGTCGTGCAGATGTTTTACAAGCTGGCTGAAAAGTCTTTTTGATTATGAGAATCATTCCACAAAAAAGCTAATAAACGTTAATAGGAACGCCAAGATGTGCCACGAAGTGCGATTAAGTACAATGTCGAGTCACCTAGACTAGTAGCCACATTGCAACTTAGTCGATAGGATTAGATCTGCACTAAGAAAGATCTGACATAAATGAAATTGATCACCACCCAGCGGTCATTCAATCGTAAATCCATTTTAGTCCTACAGTTGGTCCGTCGCGGCCCGAATAGCTCAGTGGTAACTTTTCTGACTGTGGGTCTGAGTGATACGGATCGAATCTGTTGGGGAGAATCAGTTCCCTTGAGATTACAAGTACACCTTGCTGACGAGTGCCAAGTAGCACAAAACCTAGGTCGAGGGTTTCCTGTTGACTACCTTCAGCCACCATTTCAGTTCTTAAACACAAGAAACAAGAACTGAACTGTATGGATAGGCTTTATATATAGCCAATTGTATCAAAAAGATCAGGAATGTCTAAATCATATTATTACAATAAGTCATGAAATTATTGTTGATTAGTTCTGAATTCTGTCAGGAGGTTCAAGCCTTCAAATGAACTTTTTAAAACATCATGAACTAGTGATTTGAGATTGTAAATAACAGCTCGAAGCCAATCACAATCGAATAGACACGTCCGTCACTCTTACTTTCAAAGGAGTCATAAATAACTGGTTATTTGATCTACTAAATATGGGTTTAATTCGTTGTCTCTTTTTGTGAGAGATGATATCAATGACTTTTTCAAACCACGAGTATAAAAATAGTCATCAAATAATAATTATATTCGATGCGACATTACGATTTCTATGGCTTGCCTATAAACTAAATGATTGAGTTAAATAGAGTAGAACTCTCATTTAATCACATTCTCGAGGTGTCAGATGGATGTTTAGTGGGCTAACTTTTACTTTTTTCTTCATACTGTCAATATAAAGACACAACTTAGTTTATACTATTAAATTCATCATCTTAATCGCAATGTCATCATTTTTTGAACATAACAGATGGTTTTAATACCCCAACTGATTTGGTCTGTTTTTTTTTTTGTGTTTAAATACGACGACTACCTGGATAAACTTGCAATAAAGATGTGTTTTTCTTTTTTAAAAATAAACTGGTGTACACTGTTTAGTGTGCATAAATAATTATATGATTGTCATTATCACTACACAATACAATTCATTATCTAAAATATCCAAAAACTAAACTGTAACAAAACTATAAATGAACAGTTGTTATTTATTGTACAAATATAAATAACACATATAGACAGATAAAAACGGATAAATTCCTACTTTCAGAGAGTACTGATTGTGCAAAGTATGAGATAATATACATTTTCTTTTTTTATTATTGTACACGTTTATTTAATAAATAATGAACACAGCTGTTGTGAAAGTGCACTTTCGTTTAACGGCTACTGATTTCATATATCATAAATAAACAGTCTAGTCGAATATCAGCAATCTATCTATTCATTAGTGTTTTCCTTTGGGTTTAGTATTCTTAGACAATATTACCTGATTTATGTATTATGTGGGTAATAGTGTGTAAAATTGGTGTTGAATGATATTGTGATGAGAATTTACTTGAGAATGGAAAAACATTCTTAGATGAATAGTGAAAGTGATCTGAATGCAGTAAACTGAAACTTTAAAAAATGTTCTCGTGAAAACTGCAAAGAAAATGAACTGTCTGTTGAAAATGTGGTTTCAGCATCAGTTTTATTGTGTTGTCATCTAACTTTGTTATTGATGTACATGTTTCCTATATACGAAAACTAAGATTGAGTGGGTAGTTTTAATGAGCAAAGACATCAGTCTGTCAGGCCATTTGGAAGATACTGACGTATGGTCGAGAACTAGAAAATAATTGCAAAATATGATTGGAGTCTATTAGTGACGTGACTTAGAATTTATCACAATGTAAAATATATATCTATATTCTTCATATTCTAAACTTTGAGTTTTATCCCTCGATTTCATATGCTTTTTCAAACTATGTTCCCAACGTTTAGTCTTCAATTATTGTTAGCACCACTATTGTTTCGACCTCTTTCATTCTTGACTCTGGTTTCTCATCATTATGTTGATATGATATGTAGTAGCCTGGAGGGATGAATGTTGGGGTGAGATCCTAACTTGTTTGCAGCTAGATGATTAACTCGAATCATTTTTTAAATGGATAGTCAGAGAATAACATGTTACATGACACAAGAGTAGGTAAGCAGTTAACTAGAATTAGAATACAAAAGCAGTATCAGTAAAAAACCGCAATAAAAATTAGTTGATACAAAAAATATAAAAGCGTTCATGGAACCGTCTCTTCATGAGTCAAACATCAATATAGGGAGTTTGTTGACGGTTGGTGAAATCACAACTTGAAGTAAGTTAGGCGATCAAGGAAGAACTGAACAACGGTCTCGTCACCGTATCCGGTTTTTCAGTAGTGTGCATTCGTGACTCTACCACAGATGTTCAAGTCCAGGACCTTTACGTCTCATCGTAAGCGCATAATCTTTTGACCACTGAGCTGGCATCCGTGAGTGTACGTGTTTAACTTCAAATAATTCACAATATTATTCAGTCATATTTCATTAGCTACGGAGAGTAGCTTCCCCACACTCAGCACTGATGAACTCCACTGGTCACGGTTTTTCATGAAACAACT